GATTTAGCAGTGGATAGGAGCACTGGGAGGCTAGCAATCAACGTGCCAGAACTGTGACTTTTGCTCCTTTCTCTTTTGCTCCAATCTCTTCCTTTTGTTTTTGAGCCCTTTTTGTGTTTCTCTTACTACTGGTTCTCTTGGGTTTCATCTCTAGCCTACTCCAACTTGTTTGAGACTAAAAGACTGTTGTTGTTGTTGTATTTTGGTAATTTTTGGTGGAAAAGATTTAAATCAGTTTTNGGAGGATGACGCCGCCAGCCCCCTCAAAGAGCTTTCACAACAACATCGTCAGGTTCTAGACCCCGTGATGGTTTTATCCCGTTGGTTTTTTTACTTCGATCTCAATCAATCTTTTTTACTTGCAAATATATTACTGTTTTTTTTTTTTGTTCGAAGAAATTTTTTTTCTACCCTATGTGCTTAGTTGGATGTGTCCCACTTTATTTATGATTTTGGGGGTTATTGAAGAAATCTTTAGATTGGGACGCCCAGCTTGGAAAACACGTATATTTCTTTGAAAATTTTAGATATGAACCACATTGTACCAAAATTATTTCAGCTTTCAGGTTCATCCGCTCTGAATTTGTGTGCATAGTTGTCTGTAGCTACTATATTTTGTGGGTTTCATTTAATTCATAACCATAGTAACAGAAAAACATCACTTTCATCAACGGTCATTCGAGCCACCCCCGTTTTTTCATTTGATTTCGTTGAATTTGCTCACTCCATGTTTAAACCCTATATTTCACCCGTCTATTTGTGCCTGTGTTTTTAACATGTATACAGATTTTTTTTTTTTTAGGTTTAAGTCTCTGCATCTGTGTACACTCTTGTTCCTTTTTTATTTTGTGATTTCTGATGGGCCCTAATTTCTTATAAATCTTTATAAATTTTATAAACCTATGAAAATTTGATTGATTTATTTATTTACTGAGGTCTCTGGAATTGAGAAGATTGGGAAAATGTGGACATAATAAGTTAGAAATAATCACCTCTCTTGAACAAATAAGCATATCCCTCCTCATTTCCTTGGATGTTAAGGAAGAAAATGTTGCATCTAATTTTTTACTGTACAATTTCACAAAATCAAGTTATGTGTATACAACCCAAAACATTGAATGGGGCGTACATGTGCTCAAGGATGAAAAATAGAGAAGCTACTCTCAGAACTGGTTACCCACCTGTGACTCCAGATGGCCATAATTGTTGTTGGAATCGATGGCCTACGCAGACATTTGACTCTTTGAAAACATCGACATCGTATATGTCTTTTGGTATGGTTCATATGTTATACAGTGTTACGCTACACTGAAAAGTGATAAAAAGGGTTTTATTTTCTGTGACATGGTATATATGGTAAAATTTCCAATTAAAATATTTTCTTCTTTACGAAAGGCTTACGAGACTGAATTGTAATAGTGTTTTGTACCTAATTTGTAAATTCCTCTCAGGTTCATTAACTGGATTCAAAATGGTAGTATATTGAACTTTGTACAGGAATTGTTACACTCTTGGTTATTGGGTTGCTCACAATAGTCAGATATCTTTGGAACCACCACAACTTATTTATGTAAAAAGTTCAATGTAGTTGATTGTACTTGTGTAATAGACACCGAGTCCTATATTGAAATCTATTTATCAAGTTGATTGTCATTTTACACTACCACCTTATGCTCAAATATTATCATTCTATTGAAAGTAGACGTAGGTGTTTCTCATTCATTTATTTTTATATTTTTTTTTTTGTTTTTGGTTTTCAGTGACATTCTGTGTGTGTACACTTGTTAATTTCTGATGATCTTTAATATTAGTAAATTGTATAGTTTAGCTAATTGACATTCATGAATTATGTTGCAAAGTAGCATTCGCCTGCAAGCTTATCTTGCCAAAACAGCTGGAATGCTTACACATACTCCTTTTGTTGTATCTATCAAACCACATAAAGCCTTCTGGTAAAGATATAATGATTTCATTGGCCTTCTATTGATATGTTTGTGAATATCCTATTAGGAGATAAATTGGATATAAATATGAATGATGATATGTTAATATGATATAAAGGATCTACAACCTTAGCTAAACAAGGAGAGATGTAGAAGTTAGATTGGCGAGGAGCTTCTGGACTTCATCCTACACCCTACAACATAAAATATCGTTATGGCAGCTAAGGTGTGTATTCTCGAAGTATAGTTGCTTGCTTTCGATTGACATTTGCTTGGAATTTTTATGTTATTTGTTGCATGATTGACTTATCACAAAACTATTTTTCATGCTATTTTAGTTCGAAATTTTCGTTATCATTTTCATAAACCCTGTCATTGTTGTTTGTCTATAAGATGCATTCGACATAAAAAAAAATAATAAATAAATAAAAAAGTCAATAAAAGACCACATGAAAATATAAATTGGTAGGTTAATTGTAGGATGTCGATACGAACCTTGAGGTTCGGTCTAATTTCAAAAAAGAACAATTATCTTCAAAAGTATAAGTAACAATCTTCACATTGGTTTTCAATATACAAATTATACATGTATATTTTTTTTTTCAATTATCCTATAGTAGTTTTAAAGAAGACCTGATATATTTTAGAAAAAAAATTGGATGTGCTTGAAAGCTAAAAAAAATACTTTTAGGTTTCACAAAGTGTTGACTTTTATATATTACTATTTACTCGTAATGCTTCTCTACAAATCCAAAACTGGCCTTTGAATCTTTTTGCCTATGAAAGAGTAAAGTACAGGAAAATAAAAGCCAACAAAACTTTATAAGCACATAACAAAAATAGTAACTAATCCAAACTCATGGTATTTGTGTAAGTAAAGATTTTATAAGCCATCAAAACTTTAAGTCTTTAATGTAAGTAAAGACTTATACAGTGTGCGATATTGATAAATCAAAATATAAAGGTGCCTACGAGTAACGCGCATAATCATCCTGCAAGTTGGAACTCTTGATAATATTCACCCATTTTTGTATCATTATTTCCAGAGCCCTTTCAGTGTACCTGACTGTCTGCTCCTTCACAACTTCACAACTGACCAAACCCGTTGACCTAAAGAAAGAAGACACGGATGGCTTTGATCTTTAGTCTCTTCTGCCTCAACTTCTAAAATGGAAGGNCTTGCAAGAGTGTTTTGTTTTCTTGTATAAGCTAAAATGGGGGATCATAGTGCATTATGAGGATGAAAATGTACATTATTTTAAATTTATGTACATTAACATAAGTATTTTTTTTTATTTTTTATATTTTGGAAAAAAATGGATAATATATTTTCTTGCATGCATTGCAGGTATAATATGGAGGTGCCTAGAAATGCACTTGACATAAAAATTGATCTTAAGTGCAGCTCGATGTGAATACTCCCAATGCATTGGAGGATTTATATAGCTGCATACATGGCTCCACTTCAAAGGTAGGGGTAATGAAAAGAGAAATCTATGTCGAAAGCATGAGGAAATGACATTGCTTCATATTTATTGTTGACAATTCCATTTTAATAGGTGGTAGGATAACATACTTTTAATATTAATTTATAGAATATAAATATATAACCTTGGTACATATCTATTGTATCTTTAGATTGCATTAATTAGCACCATTTGGTTGACACTTGATATGATGAATGTCGTGTGATGTCATGTGAGGCTATTTTGTTTTATCAGCTTTAATGGTATTCTTTCAACTTCACTGATTTCATGCAATTGTTTAGTCGAAACAAGTTCGACGCATTATTATAACATTCAGATTTTCATGACATTGCATATTAAAGTTATACTAAATCAATTAGGGAAAATTACACTTTGCCTACCGAACTATCCGCGTTTTTACACTTTGCCCACTCAACTTTTTCCGGTGACACTTTACCCCTTGAACTTCACATATTCTTGCACTTAACGACTTCCGGCACCGGAGATGCAAAATCAAGGGCAAAATCGTCATTTACACCTTAGAAGACACCTCAATTAGTCTTCACGAGTACACTTTGCCTACTGAACTATTCGCGTTTTTACACTTTGCCCTTAATTTTGCATCTCCGGTGGCCGGAAGTCGTTAAGTGCAAGAAAATGTGAAGTTCAAGGGGTAAAATGTCACCGGAAAAAGTTGAGTGGGCAAAGTGTAAAAACGCGGATAGTTCGGTAAGCAAAGTGTAATTTTCCCAATCAATTAATATGGGTCGGCCATGCTGGGCACGGCGATTGCCTTTTAGTATTTATATATATAAATTTCTTGAAAAAAAAAAAACTTGTAGTATACACAATTTATTTTTGTATAACACGGATTCTATGAACATTTATAGTTTACAATCATTAGTGGATCTTAACTAGGGTTGTCAACGAATTGAAAGCTCGTGAACAAAAGCTCGTTCGAGCTCGTTTGTCTTTGACAAGAGTTTGTCCGTTTGTTAATTAAGTCGAACTCGAACAAAAAATTAGACTCGTTCAATAATCGAATGAACACGAGCTTGTTCGTGAGCGTTTGACAAACATTAATTTTATTTAATTTATTTTTATACATTTATATGAAATTTTTAATAAATAAACATAAAAATATTTTTATTCTATTTTTTTATTTTCGAGTTTGAACGAACAAATTTTGAAGTAACCAACCAATTTTACAAAGTTTGTCTCCTAAACTTTTCGAATACCTATGAATGAACTCGAACTTTAGTGAAGAATTAAACAAACGAACTCAAACATAAATTTTTGCTCGAAAAATAAGAAACAAACAAGAAAATATGTTATATTGCACGACAATATAACTGTACAATCATCCATAAAACTACATAACTGTGTAGTTATAATGCACGACAAAATTCTTAGTTGACTGTACAATCATGCATAAAACTACATAACTGTGTAGTTATAATGCACGACAAAATTTAAAATATTAATTTTCATAAAATTCAAGCTGCATTTTTTTAAGAAAATATGTTATATAATACATATATATAATATTATTATTTTATTATTTTACCCCTTATTCCTTGGAACCGACTCCATGCAGTTTCTGTCAAGGCTCATGCGGGGCTCACCGAGTCAAAAAGATTTGGCGTGGAAAGGTGCGGTTGGTCAGACATCTGAGTGGCATTAAATTTAGCAACCCAAATGCTAATTAAGCATGCCTTTTAACTTTTAAGCAAATGTCCAAGATATGCATAGACATCTATGTCAAAGTGCATGTCATATGAAGATTTTTTATTTTATTTTTTTTGGATAAGGTATATTCCGATCAACAGGCTTTTAAGTATCCTAGGTGGACTAAAGAGTGGCAGTAGTTTCACTCTCCATGACCTCCACCAGTATTTTATAAAGTAATAATGCCATGTGTAGCTAATAAATATATAATTAATATTTAGATACCATACTGGGTTGATTTGACCTGAGGAACCAGCTAATTGAACCGGGTAAATCGACAGGTCGATTGAAGATCGAATGAACTATAAGTCGAGTTAATAATCTCGGATGATCTGGTAGAAACTTAACCTGAAGGCATCTAGATCGATGGATCGACCAAAATGCATGAGCTTAGCGGGAAGACAATCTATCGCAAAAGAAGTCGACTTGATCGCACGATTAGACAGCCTAATAAAACAGACTAATGAATAAGAATAAATATAAAAACTACATGTGGATTGAACCACGTGGCCTAACATAATTGGGCAGTTAGTGCACTCGGGCAATACGAACATGCAATTCGGGTACTCAGGCAACTCATCTTGGCAATTTTGGGCAATAGAGTAACACTTCTATATAAAGAGATAGATATGTCCATTTACACTCTACACACTCTAATATTCTTATTAAAAGCTTATATTTCTATTGTTTGATGTGCCCGAAAATATAGGCTCACCAAGATTGTCGGTCGAACCGCCTCATCTCGATCACCATGTCTTACGAGTCGAATCAACCTGTAAAGATAGGCATATGTTGATGATCTCTACCCTATAATTTCACCAAGATAGGTCTATGTTGATCTCTACTTTATATATGTGTNAATGTTGAACGAGACTTTTACACTACATTAGATGTTACTAGCACCACACTACATTTGGTGTGATACTATTAACATCTCTATAATTTTTATTTTTTATATTATAACTATTATTTTATTTTAAAATGTATTATTTTAACAAATTGTGTACTAATAAATATCAATAAATATAACATAAATTTAGAGTGGTGGTTCGAACTCAAACTTATTTTGGAAAAATATATTTATATTAAATTATTATAAAATAAATTAAAATGTAATTAAATAACAGAAGCAAATTTCATTAAGAATAAAAGATACACATATCAAATAATCAAAAATACAATAAAACAACAATTTAAATAATTATATGAATGTATGCGATATGACCAAGGAGAAAAAATGGCCTATGACTCTTCCCCCATATATTGTTCCATTATTCTAGTGATGCATTCCAGACAAATATGTCTACTAAAAATCTTTTATTTTCATGTCATCAAAGAAATATTATCCTTAATTTATATATATATATATATATTATGCAATTACTGAAATTAATGTTATAAAATTAATGTCATTTGCTTAGAGTTGTTAGAGCATCTCCAATGCTCAAATGTTGTTGTGGTAAATTACACTCCACATCAACATATTTAACAATGTCACAACTTTTCATCTTCCAATGCACAATGTGATCACAAATATTATGATGATGTGGACATAACTAATGTCTACAATGTAGAGAAGAATATGGTTCATCCACATTCTCTTCCACACTCTAGCTAGCGAATAAAGAGACGAGAGAGAATTATTCTTACCAATTCTAAATTATTTTATTATTTAATTAATTTTTTACTCCAAATTATAAAATTTTAATATTTGGTAAGTATATAATATTGTAGTTAGACTACATTGTACATTGGAGACAATTTTTTATTTTCATAGTTTGTGAAGTTAATATTTTTCCAACATGGTTTACAATCCATTTAATTTATTGACATTTGTCAAAATTTATTTTATAACATGATAGCATTGGAGATGCTCTTATATATATATATATATACTAGTTGTCTCACGCCGTGCACGCACGGCGGACTCAAATTTAGTCTAAAATATCAATGAAATTATTTGTCCAAGTAAATAGCCATTTTAGGTCTTCCATACATGAAGAAAATCAAAACAATCATAAATGTTTGTAAATGTTGCTCAATTTATGTAGGGCGTCACCTGATCCATCTCAGATACCCGGCTCGAATCAAAGTTCACGCCTTTCCCTTTTTAATAATAAATCGCGGTTAGATATTTCATATACCAGGAATACATTAGGCACAAAGGTTGTGAGCTCTTTTTATCTTTCCTTTACCTACTCTCCTTCCTCTACTCTGCCAAACTGGCTTTCTACCTTTGATCTAGAGCTTCATTTGTTGTGGAATAAAGTCTTCCAGCTAATTGGAGGATTAGAGATAAAACTAATTCCCTTTTTGGCCGCAAAGTAGAAATCCAATCTCTTGATTTCCCTTAGCCATGCGGTGGAACTACCAAAACAGACAATAAAGAAAAACCAAAATCGCGTTAGATAGAGAGAAACTAACTCATTCATAATTGTCGTTAAGTTGTTCCTTGTATTGAAAAAGAGATCCATGTTTTGCTGTAACTGAGAGAGCGACTCAATCCAACACAAGAATCGCAACCAGAAATCATTCATTTTCCCCTAAAAAATCATCCGTAACAATCAACAGTCAGCATTGAAACCTAATCCGCCAATGGTAGCCAAAATTAAATAATTAACAAACAAATGTTGTTTTAGTAAATATGTAATAATATATCAATTATATTACAAAAGAAATAACCTAACGAGGACTTACACCTGCATTTTTCAACATGTCCTGAAAAAGTTTGTACCCATTTGCAAATGGATAAATCCGGGACCTTCACCATTACTCACTCTCTAAATCTTCCTATCAATTGCAGACACAACCAGGAAAATAAATCAAAAATAAAGAAAGAAAGAAAGAAAGAAAACATTACTGTATAGAAAAGTAGCATGACCAGCTCTATATGTTAAGTAGACAATAATTTCATGTGAATGGCTTCATGAAGTTTCTGAATCACATGGACTTCTACCACAATTCACTGTGGAGTTAGTGCAAAGAAAAAAGATATGAAATAAATAATAAAATTTAGGTATTCTTGATACCTAGATAATAAGTCTATTTTTCTCCAAAATACAAAAAAAAAAATAAAAATAAAAAAACAAATCAGAATAAAAGGAACCTGCATAATACAAATTGTCCCGTCTCGACATAGATCAACCCCCTCACAATCAAAGCCAATAACCAATTGCCTCTCATGTGAAGGCTACAGAATTCTGCAGGAAGTTGAGATGCATGGTTGACAACATGGTTCGGCACATGCATGCTTCGTTTCCAACGGTTTTTCACCTACAAGCATTAAATTAAGCTGACTTTTATTGTTAAAAAATAATTTAGCTCAAGCTGTGTCAAACGTCATCCATAAAACCTTTTGTCATATGTGTGTAAAATAAAATGTGTCTGAAAATTAACGTGGTAAATCAAAAATTACAAAAATAAAAGTTTGAGATTAATCTGTCCGCTTCATATGAAAATAATTATTTGACATTTGGCGATATCGTCAAAGTGGATTGAAATTACTTAATATTAATCAATCACAAAATCGTCATTACAATATGATAAAATAACCAACAGGCACACACGCAGAATCAAATTTCTCAATTCCTCCAAGCAACCCAATCAGACCAGCAGAACCCAAAGAAAATTCAGTTTGTCCTGCTGAAATTAGAGCAACACATATACCCTGGAGCAAGCAGAAAAGAAAAAGTAACCTGAATAAGGTTAGCCATTTCGGCAGCCATGTTGTATCTTTGTCAACTTTTCTCTTGCCAGTGAACAAATTTGATCAATTTGGACTGTTAATTAGTGTGTTTAATCCTAAGAGACGTTGCAAGTTGCTCATCTAAAGGCTCACATCCCAATCTATCTTTCAGCCTGATAAATATAATTAAAATCAAACTTTGAAAACAAGTTCATTTAATGTGAATCAAATATTATTACGGGATAGAAGAGCTCAATTGAGTACGTGGACCGACGCTCTTCCACCAAAGCCAATTTTAATTCTTAATGTATACTAACCTACCCGTCACACTTTGCCACACAGTGTAAGAAACACCGCCACCCTTTGACATCATCACATGACCATCTAACGCCACGTGTCAGCGTCGGCAAGCAAAAAAAAGGGGTGCAATAATGATGCGCCATGAAACCCTTACTCCAAAGGCTGAATGGGAAAATTCAAAAAAAAAAAAAAAAAACTCCGAGTCCGAGTCCGAGTTTTGAAAACGATCCTGGTGAATCAAATTAACCTATCACCTCATGAATTGAGCACATTACAGTTGAAAATAAATATCAACATACAATACAACAAATCCAAAATTTTCGAAATATTAGATGATATCAAGCATACCTCACAAGATGCACACAGTACATGAACAACAATTCAACAAACAGATTAACGAAACAAATAATTTGCCCCCAACCAACTCCATTAAACAACCAAACAAATGAAATCAAATCGAAATAACTAAAATTTACACAAATATAGTCACTGAAATCTTGATAAACATTAAGAGAGGATAAACGAAAGAACAAAAGCAGTCAAAACATTAACAAACTGTAAAATTATTTCAAATAATAAATAAAAATAGAGATCCATAAATGGACCTTCAGGCAACAGATATATACTAACCCACAATATGAAATTATGAATACTCAATGAAAATATAAGAACAAGCCCAACAAGCCCCTACGTTTGCAAGCATAAATGATACCAAAGTTTAACCGTATAGAAATTATGGGAGTCTTTTCTTTCTTTCTTTCTTTTTTAGTTCGGAGAGTGTCGAAAATCACTCTTTTCTGGTATCTGCAAACACTACATATAAGACCATTAATAAAAGAACAATCCGGACTTACACCTGAATAGATGATTTTCCAAGCTACCCTTTGGCATGAACTCATACACCAAAAGCATGTGGTCATCCTCCAAGCAGTTACCGATTCACTTCACGAGATTCAGATGACTAATCTGCCCCAGGTAGTTGATCTCAGTCTGCCAACACAACCCAAAGCGCGTAAATAAAACAAATATAACTTATGCACGAAACAAGAACTACAGCAATAAAATTTATAATAAACTACACAAAAGTATCCACATAATATCCCAACCATTCTAACTACAAGCACTCAATAACCACAATAAGTTAAATTTCTCTCTTTTTTTAGTTGAATTCATAAATATCGAAATCTTACCTACCAACCATTCCTTGTGCCACCCGTCCTGTTTCAGCCTCTTGATGGCCACAACGATACCCGAGCGGGGTCGTGATGCCGCCAGTGTGCTCTCGTCAATCCAACCTTTGTAAACCGAGCCGAAGCCTCCCTCTCCTAAGACGCTGTCCCGCCGGAAGTCTTTGGTGGCTGCCCTACGATCACTAAAGTTGAAGCTTTAAAGTTTTTGGCGACTGCTGCCGGTGATTGACTGAGAGTGGAACGACAGGAGGGTGGAATTAGGATCTAAGGCGAGCGATTAACCATGAAGACTTGGCTTGGAGTCCAGGACGATGGCTTTGTTTGCAATGATCGACAGTCTCTCGGATCTAGCCCTAATTAATAGATGCAACCAAAAAATTCAATTGTAGAATGTGATTTTCTATAATTAGGGCGCAACTTCGCTCCTTCAATTTACCTGGTGGATTTCATCAACTCTGTAATTGAACTGGAAGTTGGAGTCACTGTATCACTGAGGGTCGTGTCGCCACCTCACTACTCGTAGATCACCGCTCACCTGTCCCATTTGTCGTGCCTCCGCCTCACCGCTTGTCGCACGCATTCGCCGCTCGTCTTTCACCAATTGTCGCGGCCTCTCCATGCCTTTCACCGCTCGCTGTGCCGGCGCCTCGCCGCCGCTGGTGTTTTCTTAATTTTGCCGACAAGAGTTGAGAAATAGAGAGAGATAGAGAGTTTAGGTTCTATAACTCAGAAAGAAGAAAAGGTAAAAGAAAGCACTTTGTAATGGCAGAAAGAAGACAAGGTAACAAAGAAGAGCGAGTGATTTTCGGGAAAGAAGAAAAAGTAAAAGAAAGCTTGAAGCAAATTTTCTGCGCGATCTCCGGATGATAAGAAATCTACTGAAAGCCTGGAATGAAGGGACACGCAAAAAGAATGGCGACGGGTGGGGTTTGGTGGGAGAGGAAATGGAAATGATGGATTGTGAGATAAAGCAGCGAACAGAGGCAAAGAAATGTTCACAAAAATGACCAATTTATGCCCAAAAAGAAGTCTTTGGTTAGGTCAAATAAGGGGCAATTAAGTAATTATTCGAAAAAATGACATGTGTCGCCTAAACAAAACGCCACTTGTCGCCATTTAAAGGCCATACACATTTTCATATATAGATAAGAGAGATATATATAGGATTTGGTTCAAATGAGAACTAAGTCCTAGTGTGAGAACCGTGAGAACCGCTATTTTTAATTGTATGTAGTGCTATGATTGATTGTATTTTAGTGCTATTTATAATCAGGATGTATTTTATTAAAAATAGCAAGACAATTTATGTTAGCATTTGTAAAAATGATAGCACCATGTGAGACTAAAAATAACATTATACACAATTAAAAATAACACGAAATATGGTTCTCACGGTTCTCACACCAGGATTGGTTCCAATGAGGACACATTCTTAAAATGAGGACATAAGACTCAATCCTAGCCACTAAAAAGGTATCAAGATAGGTGGCCAAGATTTAACTCTTTATTTAAATAATAATTTTTTATTTTAATTATTTTAGTTATTTAAATATTATTTTGACCATTGACCGTTGACCGTTGACTCCAACGTTGATCGTTGACTCCTGGCAAAAATCGTTGACTTTCTGCGTTGACCCGTTGACCATAATATGTATTGTGTATGAAGTAAATATGGTGAATCAAAGTTAGTGTAAATATGTTGCAGAGTTATTCAAACATGTTAGTTGCAAAGTTAATTCTATCTTGTTGCAGGGTTAGTTGTTTTTATTTGCAATGTTAGTTGTATTCAGTTTGCAAGGTTAGTTGTCTTTAGTTGCAAGGTTAATTGTCTTTGGTTACAAGGTTAGTTGTCTTTAGTTGCAAGGTTAGTTGTCTTTGGTTGCAAGGTTAGTTATCTGTAGTTGCAAGGTTAGTTCTGTCTAGTTGCAATGTTAGTTTTCTCTAGCTGCAAGGTTAGTTGTCTGTAGTTGCAAAGTTAGTTCTATCTTGTTGCAGGGTTAGTTGTTTTTATTTGCAATTTTAGTTGTATTCAGTTTGTAATGGTAGTTGTCTGTAGGTTGCAAGGTTAGTTGTCTTTAATTGCAAGGTTAGTTGTCTTTAGTTGCAATGTTAGTTGTCTTTAGTTGTAAGGTTAGTTGTCTTTGGTTGCAAGGTTAGTTATCTGTAGTTGCAAGGTTAGTTCTGTCTAGTTGCAATGTAAGTTGTCTGTAGTTGCAAGGTTAGTTATCTGTAGTTGCAAGGATAGTTGTCTGTAGTTGCAAAGAGCTGTCCTCATTTTAAGAGCGTCCTCATTTGATCCGCCCCTTATATATATATAGGATGTGATTCAAATGAGAACCAAGTTCTAGCGTGAGAACCGTGAGAACCGCTATTTTTAATTGTATGTAGTGCTATGATTGATTGTATTTTAGTGCTATTTTTATTCAGGATGTATTTTATTAAAAATAGCAACACAATTTATGTTAGCATTTGTAAAAATGATAGCACCATGTAAGATTAAAAATAACATCATACACAATTGAAAGTAGCATAAAAAATAGTTCTCACGGTTCTCACACCAGGATTAATTTTTATTTGAACCAACCCATATATATATATATATATATACTAATAATCCTTTAAATAAAACTTCATAAATTTTACCTTATAAGTTTTACCGTATAAATTATACCAACGTGGCACATAACTTTTCAAAAATTGATTCTATTAATTAAGACAAAAACGGCTACATTTTATATTAATTGAGTAGTAATTATATTTTTTATTGTATCATATAATATTATTATTAGAATTAATGATTATATTTTCATTAAATGATATATGAAAGTTACATAATCATTAAAAATTATATTGTAAAACTTTTTATTCAAGTTATTTATTCTAAAATCAATATAATATATGGTTAAGCAATTGTTTTTTAAATAAATTAATTTGTTTTAATGTCATAGTAAAATTTCTTAAAATCGCATAAGCAATTGTTATAATAATTTTAATATTCTTTTACCAAAATAATTAGTTATGATCTCTTAAAAAATATTACATTATTTGTTACATTTTATGCAATCAATATAGTGATTCATATGCAATCAATATTTTATCCAATGATCAAATTTTAAAATATATACCGTTATTTATCTTATAATTTTAATACTATATACATAAATATAACTTATAGTACTCTATGTTTAAAATTTAATGCAATTATTTAACTTATAATTTTAATATTATATACATACAAATAACTTATAATACTTTATTTATCTATACAAATGCACATGGTCGGGTGTTACTCATATTTTAACCATTTTTACTTCTTTCTTATTATATAAATTCTGATCATCTGTATTATCATTGAATGCTTTTTGGGTCCCATACCATTTTGGAAAATGGTGCACATGAATATACATCAATTGGAAGGTCTAGCTTAGCTGCAGTCCTCTTAAAATTGATAGTTCCTTGATGAGATTAATTTGTTTTGTTCAAGGTTGTCAAAACTGGACCGATCATCGAACTGATAAAGCTACTGGTTTAGGTTCACTGGTTCGACCAGTGGTTGAACCGGTTGGAGCGTTATTTAAGTAATTATTATTTTTAAATATATATAATATTTCATACATATAGTTAACTTAATTTTTAAGTTATTTAATTTATTGATATTTTAAATATATAATACTCTATAAATATTAAATATAGTTGACTTATTTTTTAAAAGTTTGGTCCTACCATATATAAATTAAGCAATAAAATGATAATACAAAATTATGGAAAAAAAAGAAATATTTCCTCACACTTCCACATTGGACAATAAAATAATAGAAAATAAAGATAGGATATAGGAAAAGAAATTCCTTCCACACCTGTCTTTAGTCCTTTACCTTTACAATTGAAAATTTGAAATTCTTACATCTTGTCCCACATCAGTAACCATAAAAAGTTAGTTACTTTATAAAAGTGTTAGAATTTATATATAAAAATTATTTGACCGGATTGACAAAAAAAAAAGGTTGAACCAACCGATTTTTGGCCGGTTCGACCGACCATTGACCGGTTTTGGCCACAGGCCCACAGCCGGTTTCTTCCATAGAACCGGACCGGTGAACTGGCCGGTTCTCGGTTCAACCGGTCGGAGCGGCCGGTCCGGTCCGGTTTTGACAACTATGGTTTTCTTTCCTTATAAAGCTTTCAAGAAAAAGTAAAAATGATGTCACTGTTTTATAGTAGTAGATCAACTCAATATTCTGTGAAAGAAGAAATCAGATTATGCTATCATATATGCTTTGACAATATTCCAAATTGTTTCGGTAAAATCCAAATTACAATTCGAATATGGCAAAAACTAGTTGATAACAGTCATAAACTGCAACCCCTGATGAGGTTTATACGCAAAGTTCATGACATTCATAGTCTGGAGATTTTGAATCATTGGTTTCTGTTAACTTTAAGAGATTCTGGCCTTGTCACAGGCTTCCAGCATCTGCTGATAATTCGGCTCCTGGAATTTGGCCCATATATCAGGCCCAAGGAAGCCGTGGTCCACGTCCAATCTGGGCCTGACCCATAAGTGGAAAGGTCGGTTTTGGACCGTTGGATTTAGGGATTGTATCCCTGCCATTCATCTGACACCATAAATAGTCTCTCCCTTCCTTTTTCTTTTCCCCAACTCTCTTACAGCGGCTGAAGCTGAACTCTCGCTCTCTCCTATTCATCTCTCTATGTTCTCTTACCAAATAGACGACATTGTTGGTTAAATGTAAGTGAGCTTGTCTTCTGCGTTGTGCCGTCTTAGATCCGCCGCAGCATCGCCTCGTTCTCTCTTCAGTCACAGGCTCTTTGTGCACCACCCAACTTGGTAATCTTCCTCTTAACGGAAGGTCGAGGAAAAATTGGAAGCTGCTGAGGAAATCAAGGAGACCATCATCGCACACGAAGTCACAGCCCCTGCGCTGAGAAAATCAAGGAGACCATCATCGCGAAGTCGCCGCCCCTGCTCCGCCTCCGTGCGAGGATCCAGAGGCGGCCGCCGCCGCCGCCCCACTGGCGCCGGAGGAGGTCTCCATCTGGGCCGTCCGCCTCCTCGCCGACGAGAAGAGCGACGCTATCCTCCTGAAATTCCGTCGGCCGACGGACTTCAACGTCAAGGAAGATTTCGCTATTCTGAAAAGCGTGGTGCCGTGGAGGAAGGAGTTCAAAATCGAGGAGCTCCTCGATGAAGAAAATATTGTCTGAGGGTCTCGAAAAGGTTGTGTATATGCACGGTGTGGATAAAGAAGGGCACCAAATTTGTTACAATTCCTTTGATGAGTTTCAGAACAAGAAATTGTATGATAGCATTCTTGAAATGGTATATTCAGTTCTTGGAGAAGAACATAAGGAAGCTCGATTTTCGGCCCGGATGGGATCGTTCAGGAGATAATGAGTCCTACGACTTCTCCATCAGCCTGAGCTCGACGACACCAGTGCCGGACACGTTCACATGAACAAGTTCGGATTTTTTAAAGGTTCGGATTGCATCATATCTTAATCAATAGATTGTTTTTTAATTTTCTAATTAATGTTGATTTGAGAATAATGTCTTCATGTATGCGTATTAATTACTGTTGATTTTCTAATTAATTGGAAGTTTCTTTTTAAAAAAATTGTCATTTATTTTGAGGGAATTTATTACACAATGTAACACCACAATCTACATGTACACAACTGACAAAAGATTTTAATAATTTTTTTTAATGTATTACTTGTACATGTACATACACAATCTACATGTACACAACTGAACTTTTTCTTGCTTACTGTCTTCTTCCTGGTAAGTAAGTTTACAAATTATAAAGTATCATTCTACTTTCCGGGCTTCTTCTTCTACAATTCTCTAGATCCTCTCTTCTTCTATATTTTGTTTTACTAACAACTCTGAAGAAAATACATCGTCTGTATTAGTAATGATTATTGAGAAGAGTTTTTTTGTTATTAGTAATGAAAAGTTGGTGAGTTTCAATTATTATTATTAGTGTTTTTTTTCACATGTTTTTCACATTCAATGTTTATATTATATATTGTATGCCACCTAAAATTCAAAGTGCATTTTCAGAGTTTAAACTTCTCTGGTAAAGTGTTTTTCTTGAACATACTGCTTTTATCATTGCCAAAAAATAATTTATCATATTATATGCCTTCAATTAGCAATTTCTTATAAAAGTCTAAAGTTTTATAATTTTTGGAAAAGAAATATATGTACGTTACACAAGGAAGTTTATTTGTATTTTATTTTCTTGGATCTCAGTTTCTTGGATATTGTTTTTTTTGTTATATGATATCCAACTGAGCAATAAATTTTCTAAGCCCTGTGCGAGTTTTGCACTGTGAAGCCTTAAATAGTTATTCAAATACTGTCCATTAACTATGACACTTTAAACTATGTTTTATCTTTATTTGTTTCAGGTGCTTATATAAAAGGAGTAAGTGACATACAATTATTAACAAGACTCAGGTAAATTAAATTTGAGTAATGTAGATTTATATTTATCATTGATTCATATGATTATTTAATTAAATAAGTTCATTATTTATTAGTAAGCAAATTTGAATGGTGGATTTATAATTGGTCAAATAATATGTAAATAAAAATTTTGGATTATTTTGAAGTCTGTTTGATTATAGTAGCGCAATGTATTTGTGAAAAAGTAATACATTAAGTTTTATTTAATTGTTTATAAATAATATTTTAATTATAAATTCGAAAGAGAGATAAAGTTTCATGGCCAAACGTTTTTTGTAAAGAAAATCTCTTTACTAATTATCCAAATAAATTTCGGATAATATGGTATGCTGGATTTATTTACAATTTAAGTTCTTGATCAACCAACCAATAACTATAATTTATAAACGATTTAAAATATTAATGTAGACCTTTACAAATGCAACGGGATTTCAAGCAAATTTTGGATAAAAAATCTGTATCACAAATAATTTGAAATGCCTCAAAAGAGTATACATAATTTATACCATAAATAATTTAAAATTAGCAAATCAGATATATTAAACATGTGAAGATCAAAAGCCATTAAAAATTTGAATTTAAATTGGATTACCAAAAGAGGTAAGTCAAAGGCTTTTACCTATTTTTTTAATCAAGTTTTCACAAATGATATTTTCATCAACCTCTTTCAATATATATAAATTCTATTAATTTTCATAATATAAGTGTTTTTTTTTTACCATCGTGCGCCATTTTAAAATTGCATGTTTCCTAAATATTAGGTCAAATATGTCGAATCGGAACCCATTTATTTTGAGGGAATTTATTACACAATGTAACACCACAATCTACATGTACACAACTGACAAAAGATTTTAATAATTTTTTTTAATGTATTACTTGTACATGTACATACACAATCTACATGTACACAACTGAACTTTTTCTTGCTTACTGTCTTCTTCCTGGTAAGTAAGTTTACAAATTATAAAGTATCATTCTACTTTCCGGGCTTCTTCTTCTACAATTCTCTAGATCCTCTCTTCTTCTATATTTTGTTTTACTAACAACTCTGAAGAAAATACATCGTCTGTATTAGTAATGATTATTGAGAAGAGTTTTTTTGTTATTAGTAATGAAAAGTTGGTGAGTTTCAATTATTATTATTAGTGTTTTTTTTCACATGTTTTTCACATTCAATGTTTATATTATATATTGTATGCCACCTAAAATTCAAAGTGCATTTTCAGAGTTTAAACTTCTCTGGTAAAGTGTTTTTCTTGAACATACTGCTTTTATCATTGCCAAAAAATAATTTATCATATTATATGCCTTCAATTAGCAATTTCTTATAAAAGTCTAAAGTTTTATAATTTTTGGAAAAGAAATATATGTACGTTACACAAGGAAGTTTATTTGTATTTTATTTTCTTGGATCTCAGTTTCTTGGATATTGTTTTTTTTGTTATATGATATCCAACTGAGCAATAAATTTTCTAAGCCCTGTGCGAGTTTTGCACTGTGAAGCCTTAAATAGTTATTCAAATACTGTCCATTAACTATGACATTTTAAACTATGTTTTATCTTTATTCGTTTCAGGTACTTATATAAAAGGAGTAAGTGATACAATTATAACAAAACTCAGGTAGAAGTTGGTGTAATAAGGTATATTTTTTGTAGCTTTTAATTGAATTTAGTTAAATTTATTCTTTTTTTTAGGAGAATTCATTTTTCATTTTTTATTGTTATTATAAGATACTATTCATTATCAATGGTGATTTAAGCAAACTGACCTTTCAGATATTTTCTATTTTCTTTAATTATCAGGTCTCAATTATGCAAAAGGAAAAAAAATAACCTTCATTGTTCGTGCTTTTTTCAGGTGTGCGTACTCTTTCTTTTTATCAACTTTAAGTTAAGTTACTGTATGTTTCTATTTGTTGAAACCTAATTAGTATAAACTTCCTTAAGTCTATTGTGTACCTGACTTCCTGTTTAATATTCTATGTTTTTAATAATAAATTGTTTTACAGAAAAAGTACAATATTAATTTACAGACTTGGTATATATGTAACAAATGTAAACAGGTCGGACAAATTAAAAAATTCAAAAAATATTGAATACTTCCTTCTAAACAACGTTTTGGTTTGATTTAGTGGTGAGTCATCGTCACAACGGAATAATAATTTAAATAATTTTAGCATATAGATTCAATATAGGTAAATTAAATTTGATTAATGTAGATTTATATTTATCATTGGTTCATATGATTATTTAATTAAATAAGTTCATTATTTATTAGTAAGCAAATTTGAATAGTGGATTTATAATTGGTCAAATAATATGTAAATAAAAATTTTGGATTATTTCGAAGTCTGTTTGATTATAGTAGCGCAATGTATTTGTGAAAAAAGTAATACATTAAGTTTTATTTAATTGTTTATAAATAATATTTTAATTATAAATTCGAAAGAGAGATAAAGTTTCACGGCCAAACGTTTTTTGTAAAGAAAATCTCTTTACTAATTATCCAAATAAATTTTGGATAATATGGTATGCCGGATTTATTTACAAATTAAGTTCTTGATCAACCAACCAATAACTATAATTTATAAACGATTTAAAATATTAATGTAGACCTTTACAAATGCAACAGGATGTCAATCAAATTTTTCATAAAAAATCTGTATCACAAATAATTTGAAATGTCTCAAAAGAGTATACATAATTTATACCATAAATAATTTAAAATTAGCAAATCAGATATATTAAACATGTGAAGATCAAAAGCCATTAAAAGTTTGAATTTAAATTGGATTACCAAAAGAGGTAAGTCAAAGGCTTTTACCTATTTTTTTAATCAAGTTTTCACAAATGATATTTTCATCAACCTCTTTCAATATATATAAATTCTATTAATTTTCATAATATAAGTGTTTTTTTTTTTTATTTATTACCATCGTGCGCCATTTTAAAATTGCATGTTTCCTAAATATTAGGTCAAATATGTCGAATCGGAACCCATTTATTTGTCTCAATTAAATTACCACAAAAACTCGAATAAACAGAGTTATGTGGTATTGAATCTCTTTCAAATTTAAATGTGTGATCTAATTGGTATCATATATGATAATCAATTCTAATCTATAACGTAATAATTTATACTAATTAATTTTTTTTATTATAATTAATTATATTTTATACTAATTATACTAAATGTACTAATTATAATTTATACTAATTATACTAATTTATACTAATTATACTATTATAATTTATACTAATTACGTACTATACTAACATAATTTAAATTAAGAAACAAAAAAAAAAGAGGTCATGTCGGCCGCAACCGGTCGCACTCCCGACGGATGACCGGTGATTGCGGCCAAGCTAGGTCCTGCTGGCCGCACTTTTTGGCCAGGAAAGGCCTGGCCGCCAGCCTTTGGCGGCCATATCCGGTCCGGCCGGAAAAGTCAAGTTGGCCGGACCAAAGCCGGCCGCATTCAACGGCCGACCAGCGGCAATCCAGCCGGTCCGGCCGGCCGGCTGCCACGAAAAAAAATGCACCTTGTCGTTTGTCATTCTTTTGCCGGAATTTGTCTGTATGTCTTTTTAGATTTTTTTTGGAAATTAAACGAGAGAGAGTGTAGTGAGAGGAGAGTGAATTTCTTTTAAGAAAAGGGCAAAAATGTCTTTTACAGGACAGTAAGTAGTAATAGGGGGTTGTGTTTAGTAACACCCAATCAATCAAGAATCGACACAAGCAAATTATAATTTTCAAGCACATTTAATTGAAGTAAATCAAATAAAAAAGATATTAGAAACAATAAAAGAAGGAGAAAGAAAAAAAATATAGGTTTTATACTCATAAATACAATACAAATCATATTACGATCAACATTTATAAATATTAAAATTGAAGACAATAGAATATTGGATAAAGAATCAAGAAAGTTAGGAGAAATAGATGGAGAATTAGGATACAGAGTAATTAAGTTTAATAT